ACTAGTGAACTAGGCAGGTTTCTCTCCGGTACAGTGTATTTGTAGCATCCAGCGTGGAGGATGAACAGGCACCTTGCATTCTGGGACACAGAGGTCAGAAATCAGCCCCAGCACGTGTGGAGCCCAACTGATTTATAGGCAACAGCTTACTCAGAAAGTAAAAGCAAGCAGGATGTACACTGTGCATACTCCAGCAGCTCAGAGGGCTCAGTCACAAAGATCAAGGCCCTGCCTGACCAGCCCTGTGAAACACAGTGGCTCTTGCTTATAGGCAAAGGTAGGAGAAGAGGCCACTTCCTCAGCGCCTTCCACAGCCGATGCTGATCTTGCACAGCCCTTCTGCTGCTCGGGGCCTCCTTATCTCCCTGGATACAGGTTTTATTGGCTCACTGATTTTTTCACTTTAGGCTACAGTTTGCTCAGATGGGGCAAATGATTCAGCTGCACTAAGACAGGTCTGTCTGTTTTGGAGCTCAGGGCACAGCTTTCTCATTGACGCAAGCCTTACCAGGCCTGCATTTTCTAGGCACGGCATCTGTGCTATTATAGGTGTCTGTGTACCACCATCTAGAGGTGATGTGCACCCTCAGCTTGATGTTACCTTGATGTCAGTAGGCCAGTGTCCGACATCCATATTCCTTATCAAAGACCAGCCCTAGCTGGGACCACATCCTGCTGCAGCCCCAGGGCTGGACTCTGAACCCCTCAGCACAGTGCAGCATTGGGATCAGGGAAACAAACCCCCAGCACAGCGAGCAACCACGCCTTCTTCCCAGACACATGACTGCAGCTTTACTGTACTGAAAATAGAGATGTCAGTCGCGCTATGCAGGGCAAACGTGCATTTGACATCTGTGAGACTGAGCCATATGGAGAACGATAAACCAGGCCAGGGTTTGCCTCGGCTCAGGGGAGGCAACTGCAGTTCTGTGCTTCTGCATCCTGTCCCATCTTCTAGATGTCCACAGTGAGTACGCGATCCAGCACACAATTTGCCAACAGGTCTTGCGCACTGAAATGTGATGTAGCAACTGCTGAAGGCTGCTGTTCCAGAGCTGCAGGGGTGATCAGGGCAGTACCGGGCGCAGACCAGAAAACTGAAGAATTAAAAGTGATAAGTGGCTGCCAGACAAACTGGTGCATCTGTTCCACAGCTCTTGCAGCATTGCAAGAGCTCTCAGCCCACACAGCAATGATGACCTGCTTGGAGGCAGCTTGCAGCTTGTGCCCTGGATGGGCTCTGCCAGGAGCTTGCAGTATGATTTGACACAGCTGGTTGCAGGGGCAGGACTGGAATGTAGGTCAGCCCCTCACAGGCTGAGAGGAGCTGTGTACCAGGCTGCAAGGTGAGCCTGCAGATAGGGGCACAACCACAGCAAGACCCTTGGTTGGATCTCTGTGTGCTAACCCCTCAGGGCACAGATCCCTCATCTGGCACATCTTCATGGCATGAGGGGCTGCGCTTGACCTGCAGCAGTCAGTGGGTTCACTGGTCCTTGGCATCAGGCTTCAGCCCTAAAGCACAAAGTGTTCCCAGCCCCACAGATCAGCCTGCCAGCATTTGTCCTTCACATCTCCCTTTTAGGCCTCTCTCCTCCCAGAAGACATTCTAGTGGCTTTAGATGTGTGTCAAGTTCAGGATTTAGAACTTTATACCTTCTCAGATGGAAGTTCGGTCTCCCTCGGGGCTGGGAGCACAGCTGCTCCTCCAGGCAGGAGCTGGAGCCTGTGAAGACGAACTGCCCTGTTTCCAAGCAGGGCTGAGGGAAACCTCGGGGGAGCACCAGGCCTGGGGCTTCTCCAGCACCTGTGACATCTTCACTCTCCTGCATAACAGCGTGCTGGGTCTGGCAATATGTTCACACGGGTCTCTCATCTGCTGCCAAGCAAACAGTGCCCTTGGTATGCCGCAGTGTTCTTCTGCAAGTGAATTCATCAGCTCTGCCCTTTAAATGTTCCTGCACAGCAGCTGCAGGAATAAATGGTTCCTCTAACTGCTTTTCTCCAGGAAAATCTGCTCCTATTGACGCAGCCCAGCCAGGAGCTGCCTTTGCTGGTTAGAGCTCAGAGGATGGCAGGCCCTCACCCTGCTGCTGGCTCTCTGGAGCTGTGCTGCTCCCCGAAAGGAGGTCCTGCTGCTGGTGGAGACAGCCTGCCTGGTGGCCCTGGAGCAAGCCAGGCCTGCACAGCAGGGCCCAGGGCACTGTGGCACATATGGCATCCCAGCCAGTGCGTGCAAGAGCAAGGCTCAGCATCACCCGTGAGTCCAGGACCCCAGGGATGACAGGAAAGGGCTGTGAGAGGAGGAATTAGGAGGCCAGGGCTGGTTAGGCAGGAGAGCTGGGGTCTCTACGACTGTCTGTTGTTCACAGCCTTGGTTTGTCTCCCCTATCCAGGAGCGAAATGAAGCGCTGGATGATTTCGCTGGCCCCAAACCGGAGAACCAAGTTCGTTTCATTTACATCCAGACTTGTTGGTAAGAGATGCAGCACAGAAGCCAGGAGCTCTTCACCCCTACCCAGCACACCTTATTCTGCCCTGATCTCAATCCATCCCCATGCCTGGGGCATCTGCCAAAGCTGGACCCTCTTCCCTGGGCTCTCCTTGCATTTCCACTGTCAGTACCCACCTGTCTCTGGGCCTGGCTGTAACCTTCCTCCCCTCCAACCTGGGCTGTGCTGCACCAGCACTCTCCCTCCCACCTGAGCTGCTTATGGGTGGCACTGTGGTGGTGACATGTCCCCAGCTCCCTTCCCCCCAGAGATGCTTCCCTGATCCCTGTGGCTGGGGCACCCCTCAGCCTCTGCAGGGTTTCTTACCAGATTAGAGGGACCATTCGCGGAGCTCACGGTGTTACACCCACCCGAGCTGTGCTGTCCTGCAACGGGCTCCATCCCAGTCCATCCCTCACTCTCACCCTGTTCCCCGGCAGACTGCCCACAGATCCAGTGTGTCCACCCATACGTGGCCCAGCAGCCGGATGAGCTGTCCTTAGAACTGGCTGACGTCCTCAACATCCTGGACAAGACAGACGATGGTACAGGGGGTGGGAGGGGGCTGGGCTGGGAGTTGCCGTGTAAGGGTGGGCAGCACTTCAGGCAGGTGGCTGTTGAGCAGACAGGAGGGGGTCCCTCAGCCAGGGAGAAACCTGGGGATATCGGCACCACAGTTGAGGGAGCTACTGCCTCCTCCTGGAGCTCAGCAAATCCAGGCTGCTCTGAGCTGTGGCAGTACTGGCACAGACACCCTGGCACCAGCAGTGGGCCATGGCAGGGCTGGCACAGCCACCCTGGATGTAACCCGTAGCTGTTCTTACTTTGATGAAGCTTTGCAGCCACCTGGTCCTGGTCTCTGGGGGACGCTTGTAGCTAGTGAACTTGGTCACATTTGGTCTCTCCTGGGGACTGCTTCTGTAGTGGCAGGGGCAGCAGAGGGCCCTCACTGGCAGCAGTGCCTGCTTTCTGCTGGCATCCCTTGAGCCAGTTGTCCAAACACAGTGCTGCTCAGGGCAGTGGGTCTCCTTGGCTGGATTTACAAACTGGGTCTGCTCCAGCACAGGCCTCTGAGCAGCTCCCAGAAAATTCCAGATCCATAGGCTCTTCCCAGCACAACTGTCCTAGCACAGGAGCAAGGGTCGGTCCTTTCCCATTTATCCCTGTCTCTGTCTCTGCTCAGGCTGGATATTTGGGGAGCGTCTTCACGACCAGGAGAGGGGCTGGTTCCCCAGTTCTATGGGGGAGGAGATCCTGAACCCCAAAATCCGAGCCCAGAACTTGAAGGAGTGTTTCCGGGTGCACAAGTCAGATGACAGTCAGCGGAGGAAACTGGGCAGCAGAAACCGCCAATGACTGCTGGTGTCCCCGAGTGTCTGGATCGCCTCTGGGAGAGGAGCAGAGGACAGAGGCTGCCAGCTGGGAGGATGTGGCAGTGGTGCTGTGGGCCACAGTGCAGGACCTGGTGTGCCAGACCAGGCACACGCATCCCTGAACAAACAGACTGTAGTTCCTGGGCTCCCCAGCAGAATTCCTGCAGCACTGATGCTTCCCTGGAGATCAGTGCTTCAAACTGGCTAAAATAAAGGGGGTTATTTTAGGTGTTCTGTAAAGCCCCAAGGAGTACGAGCCACATGGACACAGCCCGAAGGCCAGCGGGTGCCAGCCAGCTGACCCCTGTTCCTGCACTTGTGCCTGCTGGGGCTGGGTCAGGCCGCATGGGAAAGGCACGTGGCCACAAACATATCTAAGCAATTAAAGTTGCCCAGTTTGAGCACTTAGAGCTCATCACCACCTTCCGAGTTTGGGGCTCTCCTAAAGCTTTTTCAGTTTCTACCCTTATAAGACCTGGAAGAGCTATCTTGCTGCCTCTCACGCAGCCCATTGGCACCAGGCTGGGAGGAGCCCCAGGAACTCTCAAATCCTGCTGTAAAGCCACTGGACCCATTCCCATGGTCAGACCCTCAATCTGCTTTCAGTCAGATGCTCTGAAATGCTCTGTACCCAGCCCTGCTCCACCAGCAGCCCAACATGCCAGTCCTGACCCCCATCTCTGCCCGCCCAACAGCTTCAAAGCACGTCTGGGCCCTGTGCTGCAGCTCACCCCTTCCACAGCCAGCATCCCTCTGCAGAGCCGCTGCAGAAGCCTGGCCCCGCGGCCTTCCCCCGCTGATCCAGCACTCGCCATCTCCACTACCCGCTGCTGCCATGGCA